ATGGATGATACGTACTTAGACACTTTGCATTTAACGGCGGACGGCCGTCCGCAGCTTTTGCTTCTTTCTTTGATGTCGATCGTTGAATTCGCCCGAAAGCGTGGTGTTGCCACACGCGACACAAAATTGTTTTTTGTCTATTTTCTACTATCGTTGGTAGCTTCGGTAGTTTATTTTATTGATTATTATTAATTAAGTTAACTATTTGATATATTTTACATTTTAAACAGTGATGAATTATCTAATTGGCATAAAAAAATCCGTTATCTTTCTTGCATGTTATGTTATTGTAATGTGTACGCAGGTGATGGAGGAGTCGAAGCCGCCGCAGTTCGTGATCGTGGTGCACATGGCGGAGCAGCCGCCCGCGCCGCACGACGACCGCCCCGAGCACATCTCCACCGGCTGGGTGCTGCTCCGCACGCTCAATGAATTTCAAGTAATACTACTTGTACCACTTATGTACAATCGGGGAATCTGTCGGTGTTCCACTTTAAATGCAACAGTTCAACATTTCATAGATAAAATTCAAAATTGACACAACGCGAAACAATAACTAATAGGACAAACGTTTTAAATGTATTTGAGTACAAGAGTAAGTATTTTTTTTTATTATTATCCTTTCGTTTCGCTACTGCTCCCAAATTTGTTATTTGTAAGTGCTGGAGTTTGTCTTGTTGCAAGGAACAGGTCAATTTTTTTTTGTAATTGGAACAACGCGGATTTCCGCGACTGTACAATAAATAGTTTGTTTCGCAAATTCATGAATAAATGTGATGATAAATCCAATAGTGAAGTTAAAAGTTGAATGGAAAAATTGTTTGGCTTCTCGCTTCAACCAGACACATTATTGACTACTACAGTTCAAAAACGAAAGCGTAAAATTTATGATTTGTATTAATTTTTTATTGTCTTTTTCAGGAATTGCATAGAAAATTAAGACCCATGTGTTCAGAGCTCAAAAATTTAGAACTGCCGTCGAATTCTTTTAAATTTTTATTCGGGAAGAATGACAGGCAATCATTGGAAAAAGCGAAAACATTGATACAGAAGTATTTAGAAGTAAGTACAGACAATGTAACTGTATTTATTATTTCTCTTAGTTTTGAATTTTTAATGTAAAATTTTGTTACAGTTTGTATTGGAAGACGACAGGTTAAACCAAAGCGAAGCTTTATACACATTCCTTAATCCTAGTTCAGAATATTTAAAACAGGGAGATTTACCAAAGAAGAATAAGTTTTCATTTTCTACATTATTTAAAAGGTAAGTTCATTTTTTTTTTAGTTTTAGTAAATAGTTCTAAATAATGTTGGGCGATGTCGACTGCATACGCTATAACCTTTAAGCGCGCATTTATTTCGGAATATGAACTAGTACCCTATTATCAACCCTAGTAACACTATTAAAGTACCCTGAGTAAGTACCCTAATAAAGTTTTTTTTTTAATAAAATAAGATGACAAACAACATGCGGACCCTTAATTCGCCGAAGAAGCGAACCAACTGCTGCCTACAGACTTGCAATTGCGGATATGCGTTGCATACCGTTAATTGACAGAGGAGGAGAAGCACAAAAATATTTCCCCTTTCTATGTGTTTCCGCCCTCAAATCCACTCCTATTCCTTAAATGGAAAGAGAAAGGGACTGTAATTGCGTCTCCGGCTTGCAAATGTG